TATTTTTTACGGATCCCAAGAAAGAGACAGACAAAGAGAAGCAGAGAACAAAGTTCTTTTAAGTTCTTTGCTTCTCTATGTTTGTCTCCTTTTTCTTTGATCCAGTCTTTCCTTTTTCTTATTTTATTAAATAATCTTATGTGGAGCCGAGTTGGAAATAATTTTAGAAAAGTTATTAATAATTTTTACCACATAGAATATCTTAAGGATGGTAATATAAAAGAATAAAAATGTGAGAAACTAAGTCGTAATTGTGTCAAAAGTTTAGAAACTGAGTCCTATCAAGTTATAAATTGAAGAACTGAGTTATAAATAATTTTATAAAACCAAAATATTAACTTTTCCTTAAAATTTTGAACTTGGGCTTTCTCTTCTTAAGGTACTAGAATTTATACACTTTTGCAAGTTTGGGAAAAACATATTAAAATGCTTTTTTTAAACCAATGGAAGGGGTTAGGCTCTGATAATAAAACGAACCAACGTCCAAATCTCTATTGGGAAAGGCATCCACATTTAATACCTAACAGTGTTTCTAATAAGATTGTCTTTAACAAAAAAATACCTATACATAGCCCGAAAAAATAAAATGTTTTTTTTTACAGTTAATCTTTTAGTTGACAGTCCCTTAAGTTTGTGGTTAATATGTAATAAGTCTGAGTGTTTATTTTGTAATTAGGGTTTGTCATTTGCGTCTTAATTGTATTTTGTTTGATTTAAATCTCTTTTTAGTTTTTGATTTTCTAGAACTTGTTTGTAAATAGATAAGGGAAAATTAATTTGCAGGTCCTCCTTATACTTTTGTTTTTTTTCTTTCACTTTTTATTAAATCCTTTAACTTCCTACCTTCAGATTTGTTAGTCCTTGCTGCTAAATAAACATTAACACTGTTAATGATTTCCCTTAGAATGACCAAAAAAACATCTTGTCCTTCCACCATAACGCCATATCTAAGCAACCGCTCATCTCTCCTTCCCTCATGCCACTCCAGATTATAGAGAGTTGCGTCATGCATTATGCGAAGAAATACATTCCAAGTGCTTTAACGTCAAGTCGAAGGCATTTGATGTCGAGCTTGAAGAAGCTACACTAGATGATCTTTTCATACCGAGCTATTCGTACCTTAATGAAACACTCTATGAGATAAATTGTGTAGAGAGAATTCTGACTCACTTCTTGCTGATATAAAAGAAAGAAACACCACTACACTAGATGGTGATGATTAGGGGTGTGCATGAACTAGAGTAGACCAGGTTTGTTATCAAGTTGAAGTCAGGTCCAATAAAAACCTCTGGTTGAAAAAGACAGCAGGAGGTCTGATCCAATCCAATACTCAACCTTAAATCGGGTTGGCCTGGATTTAGTCTACTAGACTGCCTAGACTAGTCTAAGAAGTCTAGGACCTCAATTCAATTTTTTTTTTAAAGTTTTTTTCTTCAATGGGAGGTAAGAATACAATTTACTATATAAAATTTTGCACGTTTTTATCAAAACTTCATCAAATTTGATTACTCCCTTTCAATTTCTCAATCATGTTTCATTTATTAATCCTAATCAATATAGATCATATATTGAAGAAAATATATACATATGCTCATCACTTAGGAAGTTAATAGATAAATCTTTATTATTTGAATTGACAAAAGAAAAACTCCTATAAAAGAATTAAAACAAATTAAAATTATATGAATAATACTTAAAAATTAAAAATAAAAAGGGAAAATGGCAAACAAAGACGCCTCAATATATGAAATTATGATTTGGGACTCTCAACTTGAAAAATGGCAAATAAAGACCCGGTCCCATATTACAAATATGAAATCTTGGTAAAATGTCTGAAATGCCCCTCGGGCAAGTGACAAGTTGACTATGGAAAATGACAAATTCGCTTTAGCAAATGACAATTTTAGTAAACCAAATCATACCTTGGCTAAGGGTATGCAAAATGACAAGTTGACTATGAAAAATGACAAATTCATTTTAGCGAATGACAACTTCAGTAGACCAAACCACAACTTGGCTTAGAAGCATTTCGAACATTTCACCAAGATTTCATATTTGCAATATGGGACCGGGTCTTTATTTGCCATTTTTCAAATTGAGGCTCGCAAATCGTAATTTCACATATTGGGGGGTCTTTATTTACTATTTTTCCAAATAAAAAAGCAAGCCAGACTGGACCAGACCAAATGATCTAAGGGGTCAATCCCTAGTCCAGTCCACTGATGGGATTAGTCAAGTCCAATCTTGCTTCAGGCCAATTTTTTATGGATAGGACTGGACCAAGTTTGCTCCGGTTGAACTGGACCACAGTGTATTTGCACGGCCCTAGTGGCAACGATGTCACTATGATGCTGACGTTAATGATTGTTGGGATGCGTCTAAAAATAAAGAATGATAATGAATACTAGCAAGATGGTTAAGATGGTAAGCGGTTTCACTTACGTAAGTAGGAGAATACAAGTTTAATCTCGGAAAGCGCAATTATTTGGAGGGTTTTAATTTTAATGTTCCTAACCCTATAGAAATTCTGAGTTATAGCAAGAAAAAAAAAAAGAGAATGATAATGAATAATATGAGGCTGTTAAACCTTGCTTGCAACAAAATTTCATACGGTGCAAACAACATTTTAATAATATATGAGAAGTGCCTTTGTTTTTCGGTAGTGAAACAGGGTAGCCCATTCTTCACTTGTTATTTATCATTCATATACCCTCCGCATATATATAGTTGTTTCAATTTCTTTCTCAACGTGACCATCCTAGAGATAATAAACTTTGATGACATATATTGAATTAAAATCATATCCCGTGTTGCTTTGTACGTCTTACATCTATGGAGTTCAGAGGTGCCTTTTCATTTCATCATTCTTCAAGTGTATTCCTTACTCTAAGCTCTTCCAAGTTTCTAGACCATCATTTTTTTTTTTATCTTATTCTGACAGGGGTGAACTGCATGGCTAAGGAAATCGTGACCATGGGGATGGCTGAAGAGAATCCCAGTGAGTTTGCAAGAAGCTGGGCTTCTGGTGGAGGGGAAGAGGTGATGATGTTTCAGAGGTGGCTAGCGGAAATTATTAACGATGTTGATGCTTATTTAACAGAGTTAACTCTCATGGACTAACAGATTTAACGGCATCAAGTTTAAGGATCCAATAAAAAATTTACCAAAAAGAAAAAAACAAGTAGAAGGACTTGATTCAAAATGAAAGTAAACTAAAGTAATCAAACTGTTGGCAAACAAATAATAATAATAAGGTAATCGAGCTCCGAGAATGAGAAGAAAATTCGTAGACCAAATTGCAAATATTCATTATACTCTTAAAAAATGGCACGATTGCCGTCTGGGGAGAGAGGTTTATAGTTTCATTTTAATATTTTTTTGTGGGGTTGAAAATATTATACATAGAAATGGAGAGCTATAATTAATTTTAACATTTTTTCCCAGATCAAGTTAAAACTAAATTGAAATAATTTTTTTCTGGAAACAACACCCAAAAAAAATGCAGAAATAAAAGAAAACCACGAAAGATTCATTTCTGCATGAAATTATCAGTTTACTCCTCCGGTTCTAGATATAAGACCCTTATATTAGTATATATAAGGTCTTATATCTAGGACCGGAGGAGTATATAAAGTCTTATATCTAGGACAGGAGAAGTATTATTTTTTCCATTTTATTTAGTTTCTCACCATGAGAACATCACCAAGCTCTACTTAGAAAGTTTAAAACCCCCTGTTCAGAAATTTTATAGCTTCAGTCATTCTCTTGATAAAGAATCCAGTGATTCATTCACTTTCACATGTTTAGTAAGTCATCTTACCCAATGAAGCAGTTGGACTGTTCAAAACGCAGAGAACACACCATGCAATATACAAATCAGTTTGAATTATGATATCATATATAAACTAGGTAATAGGTAAATATTACTTAACTAGTTTGAGTATATTAAAAAAATTAGTTGAGTTAATTATTTGTAATAAATATATGTTGATGTTCCTAAAGTACTTTTTTCATCATAACTATTCTTATATGGCAACTCCTTGACATGTATAAACAAAAAGAATACTTTAGACTTTTAGAGAATAAATTACAAATTTAAGAGATAAGGTAAATTAATATCTTATATGTAAAACTAAAATTAATCTCCAACTAATTTTTATATTAAGCACCAGAACTAGTGTATATATATACATAATCCGGATGTCTCCAATAATACAAAGCATTTAAAATATATGTTGCACTATTCATGCCATATGATAGTACGATATGTTGTAGATTTTATTCCATATGCATTGATATAATGATCTCTTGATTGATGATTTACAATAATGTGTTCAAATGGGTCACCCATATATCTTAAGCACTTCAATTTCTCCCTCATCAAGCCATTCCCAGAAATAAACATAATAGGTACTCCTCCGGTCTTAATTATAAGACCCAATTGACTTATTTGAAGAGATTAAGGAAGTAAGTTAAGTTGGTTATTTATAATAAATAAGTGTTGTTATTCCTAAAATATCCTTACTAATTAAATATATTGGCTAAAACTATCATTATTAGAAGGATTATCTTAGAAAAAAATACATAAATATAAGAGAGAAAATGAATTGGGTCTTATAATTAGGACCAAATAAAAAGTCAAATTGGGTCTTATAATAAGGACCGGAGGAGTAACTGTTTTTTGTATGATTACCAATAATCCATTACTATCACATCAAATTCAACTATTTTCAGGACCGAAGAGAGTTTAACTCTTTCAACGTGGTTTTTCCATTGCTTCAGGATATCCAATCACTTTCACTTGACCAAACCACCATCGTATCAACATAATATTTAATTAGCTTGAACTGTTATTTCCTTGTCTGTGTTGAGTCAATGCCTCTTAGATGCTAATCTTGTAAAAGCAGAGTTGAATAACTTATGTTGACAAATCCGGTAGGTTTGGTTTATCTTCTCTAAGAACGTTCATTATTCAATATTGTTCAGTCTACCACCGGATGTAATTGAACCCCTTTAACATTCAATGAAAAGTACATTTTTGTTCAAATTACAAATTAGAGATAATGGGAAACTAAATTGCAATTAGGCATACAAGATCATACAAAAAAACAAGTAAACTGCATATCCCATTTTCAAGCAATCAATTACTTGAGCTCAGAATGCCCCATCAAAACCGTTTACAGGTTATGGCTAAGATTATGACAGAGGATAAAGTACAAAAACAATTAGGCACAATAAGAAAGAACACATGCCACTTTACTTATCTGCCTTCAAATTTAGCTTGTAGCGACGATAGCCATTCGTTTCCCCAAGTTGCACAATCTCTTTTGCCTCTGTAATCATAGACTGCTTCACCAAACTATCCACAACAAGCTGCAGAATTGATGGGTCAACAAGACACCGTATATTGAATATGTCTTTGCACAATTCAAAAGCAGTTGTCAAATCACCCTTCTCACATAAGAATGGAAGAAGAGTCACATAAGTTATCTTGTTAGGGTCATGCTCAGAATGTGATATCTCAGCGTACCACTTTTTAGCTTCGCACAAATCATCCGCGTCAACAAAACCTTTAATCAAAGCATTGAAGCTAAACATATCAGGCTTGATAGCCTCATTCTTCATTTTATCAAACAACTCAGCGGCATCTTTAGTTTTCTTCTCCATAGCCAATCCCCTTAACCTAGCATTGTAGGTCCTGATATTAGGAGCAACATTTTTCTCACTCATTTGACTCCATAATTTCTCCCCATCTAGAAAACGATCATTCCTATACAACCAATCAAGAAGCGTATTGTATGTGATCAAATCCGGGTCTATTCCCTTGTTTCCCATCTCCTCAAGCAATGAAATAGCCCAATCAGGATTACCCATCTCACAGTACGCCTTAATAACAGTATTATAAGACACCAAATTGGGTTCAATAGACAGCTTCGAGGTTACCTTCTTAAAAACGAAATCCACCATATCAAACTTTTTAGAGTGTAAATACGCAGCCAAAAGAGCATTCAAAGAAAGCACGGTGCGCGTACAATTTCTTTCAGGCAATTCGTCAAACATCTTATGTGCATTCTCACACAAACCAGCACTGCCATACAGAGTAATCAGACGGGCCGAGAAGCCTTCTCTTTCGATGTCACTGTACTTCTTTTGTTCTTCGAGGATCTCTTCGACCCATTTGAAGCGTTTGGCGACGGCAAGGCGACGAACAGTGTCTTCGTATATGCCACTTTTGGTGCGGAAACGAGAATATTCGGATGCTTTCTTGAATTTGTCGACGAGGCGCTTGAGGTCGCGTTCCTTGTAGAGGTCTTCGGATATTGACTTGATGGAGACAGAGGATTGAAGTGAGGTAGAGAAGGTGCGATGAAGAATGCGATGGAGGAAGGACATTGTGTTCACTCCTGAGAGACGAAAAGGCAGGCGAAAGGGAAACAGATAATTTCGAATAGCACTATAGCAGGGGGTCGGAGGTTAGAGAGGTTTTGTGGCATCTAGGGTTTTATCATTTATTAATTTAAATTTTAAATTCTAAGTACCTCCCACTTTTTAGTTTTTACCATGGGGTTTTGTCTAAACTCACTCAAAAAAAAATTTATTAATTATATTTTTCATGGTTATTCTTATTAAAGTTTACAATTTATTTTTTCAATTCTCAAGATATAATTCGTTGTTTTAAAATTGGTAAATTTGAAAATTTTTTATTTCAAAACAAATTTAATGACTTTACTATTTTTTAATTATAATAAGCTAATTAGAATATGCTTATAGTAAAAAAGAAAGGAAATACTTGCATTTAGTTAGGTTTCTTAAACATTTAATCAAGCATTTAATCTTTGACAGAAGATTTTTCAAAAAGTATATAATACGAGGAAATTAGTTATTATTTATCACTACTGAATATGCTCAACCAAAGATAAGGACAGGAAGTGTAACTCTAAATAACAAGTTTTTATTATTCAAATCTCTTATGCAAGGCAGCATTATAAAAACAAACCCTCATCTCTATAGGTTTTTAATGAAAGAGACATTAAAATTATTTCATAAAATTTTAAAATCTATTTAAATCATGTGACTTGATTAAGGCTTTGATAAATTTAATAATTTAAATAAACATTTGCGTTATTTAAGCCTTTTTTTTAAGAGATTTTTCTTCTCATTTTATCTAAAATCTTGCCTTTATATTTTTTTCCAATTAACATGACGTAAAAATAATGCACAATTATGGCAAAAAATACATAATTATTGAGAATTTATAATTCTAGAAAATATTAATTATAATCCTAATATCATTTTCCATGTTTTTACTGAGAATTTATTTTTTGACTTAACAATTATACCTTGCGTTTTAATATAATATTTTAAAAAAATATTTTTATTATTTTGTTAACTTTTTGGGATTGGGCCTAAGCCATTCTTTGTATGAGTCAGCCTTGAAAAGCTCCTGAGTAACAAAGCGAAAAGATGAAAGCCCAAAGACCAAGTTTGAGCTGATTGCAATTTTATTTTATCCAGTCTCTATACGCCCCTGATCCATTGCGTGAAAACACGCGTTTTTTATACGCTCCTAAGCATGTCTTTCTATAATAATAATAATAAATAGAGGCATGCGTTATTCTAAGGGGAGAATTCCGCACACAAAAAAAAAGTCTAAAATTACTAAATTCTAAATAAAATTATTTTTATAAAAATGCATTATTATTTGTAAGTTTAGTATCATCAAAACCTATTAAAGTATTTGTTTGCTAATGGATGTTATTCCTCCTTTTCCTTTTGATTTTTTGCCAATGTGATCTCCCCCCCCCCCTCAAATAATCATATTTGACAGTATGATTTTATGCATACACCCAATATAAATTATTAGGGTATTAATATGGGAAAATTGCAATTAAGTCTCACCCAAAGAAGTTAAATACAAAAAGGTTCTTTGAAATCATGAAATTATTCTGAAATCCCAGGGAATTTTTTTGCAATAAATTTTATTTGTTTAATTATCAAATTACCTTTCTTTTTTAAAAAAAAAAATTTGCATTGACAACTGAAAGAACAGTGACTGACAACTTAGGGTGTAAGGATTGACAACTATAGCAGTTGGTTTGACAACTTAGGATGTGATATACTGAGAAAATGTGTTGTCAAACCAGCTGCTATAGTTGTCAATCCTTGCACCCTAAGTTGTCAATCATTGCTCTTTCAGTTGTCAAGGGAAAGTTAAAAAAAAAAAGTAATTTGGTAATTAAATAAATAAAATTTATTACAAAAAGGTTCTTTGAGACTTCAGAATAATTTTATGATTTCAAGAGACCTTTTTGTATTTAATTCCTTTCGGTGGGTCATAATTGCAATTATTCCTATTAATATTCCAATCAATGAACACTATTATGCATTTAATTTTCAGTTATTGTCTCTCTTGTAATAATTTGACCACTTCAATGACCTTGAAAATATTCATTTAATTTTTTTAAACTTGGTTTTTAATTTGTGGCATTAAAAATATTTATTGGTTGCTAAATCCGAGCCACCCATGTTTAAAGAACCGGCAAGATTTTAACTGAAGTTCATAGGAGGGATGTCCTTTTCTCTGGCAGTACCCTTCTGCCAAATCAAACGCCATATCTTCATCGTCTATATGTTGTCCCCTATATATGTCCTTTCCCTACTTCCTTTTGCTTGGCCTTTATATATTCGCATAATCATTGCATATCCCTATGTCCTGACCACGGACGTGAAAATATTACATTTCTGCCTGCATACTTTTAGATTTGGATTAAAAATTTATTTTCATAATTGAATCGGATTGGATCAGAATTAAGCCGCAATCGAACTTAAACTCAAAAATAAACAGAGGGAAGGAGGGGTTTTATGCCCAATTCTCAAGTACTAGACAATTTTTTTTTCATTTGGTATGCTTTTTTTCTTTAAAAAAAGGACATTTGGATTTAAGAAAATAATGAAAAAGCTGAAAATTATTAAATACCAAATAAAAAATATCAACAAAAATTTGTTGTTATTTCTCAGTTCAGTATTGTCAACACCAAATAAAGTATTGTTATTAAACCTGATTTGAGATTTAGTAATTTTTAATTTCTTTTTTTATCATTTTTCTTTGGATTTATGCACCACATCCTAACTTTTGGATGTGAATTTTTCTCCTTTTTAAGCATAAAAATGAGGTATGTTAAATAAATATGGATAATGTAAATTTATTTTTTTATAAGAAATACAAAATTAAGAGATTATAAACTTTTAATCATTATGTACGATATGTGATGGACTAACCCAATTAGCTCTATTTGATATTTTCTTTTAATGCTTCAAATATTTCAGCCCAATGCATGCTAGTGATTTTAAAAGAAAAAATGAGTTAAAATAATCAATACAAGTATGATTATAAATAATCTGATTTATTTTGGGCTCTGTAATAATAAGCTGAATCTATTCACGTTTTAAAAATGGAAAATAAAAAATCAAAAAGGAGAGAGACTTTTCTGCTTCTCTAACAACCTCACACATTTGTACTATTGCAGTCAACACGAGACCAACTGCCAAAGTACTCAAACGGAATCAAACCAAAAATGCAGAATAAAGTTTGTCTCTTTTTTTTTTTTGGGCCCTGAAGTTTATTTCTTTTTTTTGTATATATAAAAAAAAGTTTGTTTATTCCATTGTCTATATTAAAAATGGTTTATTTATACTTGCAAAAAGATTGATTTTCTCTGTATTATTATTTTACAAATAGCTTTGTCTCATTTTTTGGGTAGACTTAGAGTATTTTCAAGTTATTTAGACTTAAAACTAATTTTTGTTGGGTTAGGAGTGTTAAAATTAAAATTTTTTCAACAAGTGTGCTTCTTGATATTGTAACTTGTATTCTCCTTAATAATTATACTAAAGGAGCTCACATCAATTGGACTTAAGTAATTTTGGAATTTAACCTAATATTTTCTCCTATCCCTATTACAAGCACATCCCACATGTTTAAAGTGTTAATTTTTTTTTAAAACCTAGTGTCACTAACTAACCACAAAATTTTTGAAACTCCCCTAACCAATGACTTTTATTTAGTGTAATTTTGAAGTTCAATAAAGGATAACTAATTCTTATTAATTTTCTTAATTTACACAAAGTAGTCAATTGGAATTGGAACTTATAAAAGAGACCTGAAAAAAGTAATACCTAATCTCAAGGGAAAAAAACAAGTACTAACATCTAACTAGAGATTTTTTTCCCCGTGCATCGATTAAAATATTTGATTAAATTTTAAATGATAATAAATTGTATTATCTAAGATAGATTAAAATTATATTCACTTTTTATAGAAGTGTAATTTTTTTATTCATTCAAATAAGATTTGAATTAGAGATTTGAAAATTAAGAAGACTATATAAAAATTTAAAATTATTTATTTATTTCTCTATCTAAGCCCCCAATGGACATACTATTTAATTATGATGATTCATATTTAATTCAATATATTCAAATCCTAATTAAGATATCATTCAAACTCAAAATTAATTATTAATTCCTTCATTTGACCCTCAAATTGAAATCCCATTTAATAATGATACTCCTCATTTAATTCAATATACATAAATCCTAATCAAAATATTATTCAAATCTCATCAATTAAATATATTCGGATGTCTTAATGTTATACCCAATTTGTTTTTAAAACGAACTGGGTATTACGAGTTTTCAAGAATATAATTGATTGATTGATTGATATGAAAGTTCGAATTTGCATTAAGAAAAGTATTTACAGTTTGATTATAACATAATAGAATTTCCTTCTATAACCTATAAGAAGAAATATATGGACGGTAAAAAAATCTTATAACAGAATAACCATATTTATAACAGAAGTTGATTTTGTTATGAAAGATTCCAGCATGTTGCAACCACACCAGAATGCCCACTCTGGACTCTCTCTCTCATAACAAACACACACAGTCTCTCTCTCTCTCTCTCTCTCTCTCTCTGACATGATGCTTTTGTGAGAAGTACTTATATACCTCGCAATCATTCTTCAATTTACAAGTTTTCTTTCTTCTTCCCTCCTCCCTTGCCTTCTGCTCAAACCCATTTTCTGCAAATATATGGATTATGCAGAAGAGAATGGGTTCTGTGTTACTTTTGATGATTTCTGTGATGTTAATGATAATAACAACAACAATGGAGGCAGCATCAGAAGAAGCATGATCAGGAAGAGAAAATATGGTGACAGTATTAATAATGAAGATGAAGAAGAAGAAAATGGAGATGTCAAAATATACAAATCCAAGAACCTCAGGACTGAGAGGAAGAGGAGAGAGAAGCTCAGTAGTAGGCTCTTGATGCTGCGATCTTTAGTCCCAAACATCACAAATGCAATACCCAAAACCCTAATTCTTTCTTCTCTGTAACAATTTTTCATTTCTGGGTGTAGTTTCTGATGGTTCATTCTGATGATTTTCCTTTTTTTTGTTTCAGATGACCAGAGCCTGCATAATTGATGATGCCATCACTTACATCAATAAAATGCAAACCCAGGTGGAGAGTCTCACTCAGGAACTTCAAGAAATAGAGGCGAAGGCAAATTCTCAGCTGCCAAAAGCCTTAGATCAGCCGAAGACAAAGAAAAGAGATGAACCAGAGGAGGAAGAAGAAGAGGAGGAGGAGATGAAGAAATGTGGGATTCAGGTTATTAATCTGCAGAATTCCAAGATCTGATTATGTGAAAGTTCATTGAATCAATTTGCTTTTTTGGTGAAATGATTCAGTGATTTTGGTGTGTAGGAACAAGTGAAAGTGGCTGAAATTGAAGTGAATAAGCTGTGGATGAAGATCATCATCGAGAAGAAAAGAGGAAGAATCATGAAACTGATTGAAGCCATGAATTCCTTTGGCATTGGTCTCTTAGACACCAATGTCACCACCACAAAAGGAGCATTCCTCATCACAACCTCCATTCAGGTCTTAATTACTCTCATTTTCACATCTCTCTCTCTCTCTCTCTATATAAATATATATATGTATATATCAGAAACTGATTTATGTCAGATGATCTTTCAGGGGAAGAATGGTGAAAGGCTTGCAGCACAAGAAACCCAGGAGTTGATGCTTGATATTGTTAGAGCTATATAGATATCTCAGTTAGTTTCTCATGAAATTTGAAGAGTTTTGATTGATTTTTTATCTCAGTTAGAATTTGAGAGGAATAGTAGTATACATCAGTTTTGAATGAGACAGAAATTTATAGTAAGAAAATATAAGATTCCATCAGATCATAAATATATATATATATATATATAGCAGTATGCATAACAGTACATTCTTTTCCATCATATTATACATACATATATATATACACACACACAAACACAGAGAGAGAGAGAGAATGGAGAAAACAGAGTAAAAAGGAGGTAACATTCATTGAAGATGAGCTGAAAAACAACAAACAAAATTGCAGGAAGATTTTTGCTTTCCTCTCAAACTGTTTCTGTAAACACTCACAACTCTAATTAGGTGTATATCCACTTTACTCTATGAAATTATTATTAAAGAAACCAGAAAAAAGAGGAAGAAAACAAGTAATCTTTTGAAATGAGCAGCCAAACTTTCATCTCTGATCTTGAAATCCAATGCTCTTTCTTCCGAAGGAAATACCTCCTGCATGTCACATTCAAGAACAAAATTTCAGAAATATAATTCAGAGCAATTGCAGAATGAGAGCAAACAAAAGGAAAGTAACAGCTTAGCCTCTGTTTGGCAGCTAGGAAAATTAGAAGGAAAGTGCCTAACCAAAATCCCAGAACTGAAAACGTAGCTCACTAGCCTAAAAATTCAAAAGAAGCACGGAGAAGGAAAAAGTAAGCCAGTAGCTTAGCCACTGTTTGGCAACCAGGGAAAATCAGGGATGAGAATGAAAATCTCTAACCAAAACCCAGAACTTAGCTCACTGGCTTAAAAATTCAAAACAAACACTGAGAAGGAAAAAGTAACCCAGTAACTTAGCTAGTGTTTGGCAGCCAGGAAAATGCTCAAGTCCAACGCAAAACCAGAAAGGAAAACCTTACTAAGTAGCTTAAAAGTTCAAAATAAACAGAGAGAAGGAAGGATTTGTACCTTGAGATCTGCAAATGGGGGGATCTTCAAAGAGGGAGAAAGAGAATTGTTTATGAGCAAGGCCAATATCAAAGAGAATGAGACCAGAAGAAGGATCACTGACGATAATATCCTTCACAGGAAGCCATAAGAAAAGTTCTTCCTGTGACAGACCTTGCAAACCCTTAAGCTGTCCGAAGCTGAGATTGGCTCTCACTACACTTTCAAAGAACACTCTGTTCTCAAATTTGGCCATGCATGGACGATCCAGATGAACTTCTAAACGCCCCGTTTCGTCGAAATTGTAGGACTTTACACTTTCTGGGAAAAGCCCAGATGGTAGGCCATAGCTGCGAAGAAGGTCGTGCATTGATGAATAAGAAGAAGAAGAAGAAGAAGAAGAAATTGTGATAGGAAGAAGAAGAAGAAGTAAGAAGGTGAGAAATAAAGATCTGGGTTTTGCAGGCATTGTGAAGGAGAAGAAGGGGTTGATGAGAGAGAGAGAGAGAGAGAGAGATAGGAAAGTGGGAGGTGATTGAGGTTTAAAGTGAGGTTTTTGATTGGCTTTATGGTTTGAAGTTTGACTACTGTGTATGCGTTATGGAACTCAAAAAGTGCGAAACAGAGAGGATTGCTGGCAACATTTCAAGGTTCTGGGCTGGCATGAAGCTCTGCGAAATGACCAAACCACCCTTGCATGTTGGGGAATTACAAGCAAGAATTAAGCTTAATATTAAAGTAAAACTGAGTGTTTATATAAAGTTTGAGTTAAAATAATGAAGTTATAAATTTCATAAATCATGAAGAATAAAATTTATTATTATTAGTGCTTTTATATCATATATATTTATATTGATAAAAATATCAATTTCCTTTGATATAAGTGAATTATTACTATTACTATACATTTAAAATTTTAAAAAGGAAATAAATACATGTATAGATTTAAAAAAAAAAACCCTTTCTTTATATTCAACTTTTTAATATGCCACTATTTGTAGTTACTAATTTATTTTTTTCCTGAGTACTTTCTTTTTTTTTCTTGAGTGTCTGATTTATATTCATTATTTTTAAATATCTCATTTTGATCAAATGGCGTACGGCATTATTAAGTAAGGAAAGAATCTAACCGTAGAATAAGACAAAGCAATTTGAATATTTAAAGTTGGGGAAAAAGGTAAACTACTCGTCGTATTTTAAATTTAAATGAATTAATTAATTATGGAATTGGAAAACAACTTTGGCTTTACGATTTGTGATTATGATTTTATTTTAAGAAACAAAGATTTGAATGGGTTTGATATTGTCTTTTGGCGCTTTGGCCTTAAGCTGCATCACTATGATTGCGCTGCTTTTATGCTTCTTTCCAACATGAAAACCTAGACGTATTTGATGCTGTGTCCAGATTTCTAGACACCAATTATTCTTTGACTTATTTAGGTGAATTAGTTTTTGAAGATTGACAAACAATTTCACATCTCAGATAGCATCTATAAAAATATTTTTACACACCAATTATTATTCTCATTTTATTTGTTATAATACTTTTTTCTTCGGTTCTTAATTAACTACCCCATGATGAGCATTTAAAAATTTAGTTAAATTAATTTTGTTCTTCAATTTTTGTCCAAAATTTTAACAAGTTTTCAATATTATTATCCATTCTTTTTAACCTGAGTTTTCAATATTAGTCTTGAAATTCATTAAATTTTTTTTCATTTTAATCATTCTCCATTTTACCCATATAAATTATAAAGTTAAGAGACGGTCCAAACAATGAAGGGCATTAGGACTTTGGAGAAGAAAATAATAAATGCTTGGGAAAATGAAAGAAATTATTATAATAAGAACCAAAAAAATACTCTACTAAAAAGATTTCTAGATCAAGTAAATTGAATACATAAAGATAGGCTTCATATCCTCAAATAGTACTTAAAAAAGTATTTATAAGTTATCAATAATCTTGTATTCTAGTGATATGAATGTTCTTTGATAAGTTAGAGGTTGCAAATTCAATTTAACTACTAATCTAGAATCATTATTACTTACCCATCTAATTAAAAATAAGTATTTATAGGCTACATGTCAACAAAGTTTTCATGTCAATTTGTGGGAACTGAATACTCACCGTCATTCTCACGGGATGTCCAATTACTCTTTATGTAATTAGACCTACTTTTATTCTTTTATTTTTAATCTTTTGTTACATAAAGAAAATCTATTTATAGACCCATTTGTTTAGTTGAATCTAAACTTCTCTCTCTAAGCATGCATACATGATATATATGCATATATACTATCTCCGGTCCTTAGTATAAGACCTTATTTGACTTTTATTTTAGTCTTAAATATAATATCCCAATCCACTTTATCTCTTATATTTATATATTCTTTTTCAATATAGTTTTTTTAACAATGATAGTTCTAGCTAATACACTTGATTAGTCAAAAATATTTTAGAACAGACAACACTTATTTATTACAAATAACTAACTTAACTTCTTTTCTTAATCTCCTCAAATTAGTCAACTAGCTCTTATAATTAATACTGGAAGTAGTATTAAGTTAGATTTAAGTAATGTCAAACCTAATTGAAAGTAACTTTCTTAATCATAAATGTTTTTCAGCATGAGTGCATAACTAAATTTACGATTATATTTTCAAGTGACCATAAACTCCTCATAAAAGAAAAAGTAAAAAAAAAAAAAAATCTCTGGATAATTCTCACTCACATTTCTTAAGTCAGAAGAGTTTTGTGGTTTAAAGTGTTCCTTGTTTGGTAGATCTAGTTTGCAGTGCAAAATTTGCACTACAAACTAGATCTTATATAATCACCGGAGGTAGTATTTTATATAAGAAGAAAAAAAGAATATAATTGAGGTTGGATAAAAGGAGAAGATTTTGAGTGGATAGCGTAGTTGCGTGTCCTATAATGCCAACACAAGGATTCATTGATTTCTTTATTAACGAGGAATTTGGTGCAAGTTAATGATGCTTATTGGAATTTTTTAAAAAAAATTCACTCATTTAGTTTTTTTTTGGTTCTGTTTTAACTTAACTATCAATTTTAGAAATATTCAAATGAGTTAGGTAAAAATGAAAATGATGGATAGAAATGAAATTTAAATTAAATTAGTTAAATTACAAAAGAAAAATAGTCAAGGACACGAAATGGGAATCATTTTTGCAGGGGCAAATTGGTCCAAATAATTTGATTCCAAGAAACTATACCTGATTTCATTCCCTCGTATTAGGTGGAGTCTCATTCTAAATCTCTTTCCCTGCTACCAATTCATATGTACCGGACGAGAAATTAAATTTCTCTAAAATTTATAAATCAATATACTTTTATAATTACTTGTGACTTTTAGAAAAATGTGATTAATCTGGTAACGTGTGATTCAAGCATCAAGAATTATAATGGTGCTCTGTAATTTGGGAGCCATAAGCATAATATTTCTTCCATTCTTAATACTACCTCATGTCCTTAATATAAAGACTCGTTTGATTTTTATTTTGATTCCAAAAAATAAGATATTAATCCACTTTGTCTATGATATTTATCTTTTTTTTTTGTAAGATAATCCTTGTAATAATGATAGGTTAGTCGATATACTTAATTAATAAAGATATTTTAAGAAAAATAACACCTATTTCTTCCAAATAACTAGATCAACTAGTTTTCTTAATCCATTCAAATTAGTCAGTTAGCTCTTATATTGAAGACTGGAAGTAGTGTAACATAAGAGTTATTTAACTAATTAGAACTTATTAAAAAAGTTAAATAAACTATTGAATTATATCTCCCTAAAGTCGAAGCACTACCCTCCTCCTGCATTCCTCAACCAAAAGAGAAACCCTTTCTCCCTGTCTGTGTTTGGTGAAAATAAAAGACACCTTACCTGTATGCACTTTAAATGGTTGGCTTTTTTAATGTCTAATTTTTACTGTGGACAAATATATATATAAAGGGAAAAAAAATCATAACTATCTCATTTAAGAAGAAATAGAGGAGGAAGGTAGTGCTTCAACTTGGGAATAGAAGCGAGTTTAGATTTAAACTGAGGAATGGCCACGGAAGCTTTAGAGCTGTCTTGTTTTTCAGAGAACTTGATACACTGATGCAAAGAGTGATCGTCGCGTCTCTGCAACTCTCCGTCCGCTCCAGCACTTTCTTCTTCTATGTAAACTTTATAAAATAAGATAGGTGGCACTGAGTTGGAAGGAATTTTATATATAAATGAAAAGGGTAATAATATAAAAACGAAAAGATAATAGACGAATCAAAGGTGAGGAATTAAATGACATCAAGTGATAATAGAGGATTCAATTATAAGTTAAAAATTAAGGATTAAAAGATTAAATTTTCCTATTTATTTGCAATAGTTGGGCTAAGGAATATATACCTTAAAAAGATTTCATGTGTTAAAATTAAATAAGAGTAAAAACAGTGTAATAAATAATTAATGTGTCCTCTGGTGGATTTTTCTCAAGCCTCACATTCATTTACTGGTGATTTTACACAACATCAGAAAAGAGAAATATGATCACGTAATTTGAAATGAGTTGAAAGTTATAGAATTACGGTGCCATGTTTTGCCTTATTTTTACTGTTCCAAAGCTCCAAAGAATTTTTGAAGTAACAATCTTCTCAAAAATTTCTAGTTTCTAGATTTTCCCAAAAGCCAAAATGAATCACTTCACTAAACTTACAAGCATTAAAGTGATGAGAAAGAATGAAAATTGAAAGAAGCGAGAGGACAAAGATTCAGTAAAAGGCAAGAGACTGTGTGAACAATTCTAGCGATTCATTCACAATTTCACGTATAGGCCCAAACTACGTAGACCAAAAGCCACCATTTTATTAATTCTTGTAAGCCGCAAATAGGTGGGCCCAAAAAAAAAAAAAAAAAAAGGCTGCGACAGACTCTAGCAGTTTCTTACTAAAAAAAACTTCACTAAAAATCACACCATAATTTAAAAAATAATTTATAATTTTAATATATATAAATATTTTTTTTACAAATTTTTTTGATGTGTAAAAATACTTTTAAAAAATATTTTTGTCTAATACCAAACACTCCCTAAATTCGTTTCTCATAATCCAAAACTAAAGTGAATTTTTTTTTTTTTGGGGGCCATAAATCCGAAGTGAGTTTAGTAATCCGTAGAGGAATATTCGGCTATGATATGGGATGGGCCAAGCATGCACAACGACTAGAATTGATTCTACAGTTTCAATCAGTCACTCTATAAGTTCTTAAAACACCCATAAAGCTGGACATAATGCATTTTTAGTTCTGAGGCAAATTGTTTGATGATAATGAGCATAACATTCTAGAACATAGTATCTGAACATCCTGCATGCATATCATGCTCTGTCCATAACCACATTTCTCAACATAATAATCCTGAAACTACTCATACAGCTTGAAAGAACACTAGGCATCTGGAGAGACTTCCAACATAGGTAACGTATATGAGCAGCACCTGATAGAGCGTAGAGCATGAAAAAAGTCAATTCTCAGCAAATTTCATTTGGTTTTACTCTCTTTTAACAAAACTGTTGACCTGCAACAAAAGCAAAAAAGCATAACTAATCGCAGCAGCAGCACTTGATATAAAAACTTGAATAATAACAAAGGAATATACGTGAAATTTCATGCAATATCAGATATTGTGCAAAGATGCAAGCTGCAGTGTTCATTATCAATTCGATTTAGTAATAACCAAGAACTTCCCTATAGAACAAAAATCCACTACCTCAAGTAGAGTTCTTAAAGTCTCATTCTGAGGTTGCCTCTTGCCTTGGTCATCTGCGTTCTGGGGGCGGGCTATCTCTCCTTCTTTCTGGGGGCGGGCCATCTCTCCTTCTTTCATACCTCCTGCTCTCATTTTTCGATCCACCACGTTTCGGTTGATAGGTAGGGTACTTGCACGGGATGATCTCCCCATTTATATACTTATCCCCTACAATCAACATTAAGCATTTATATTTAGTCTTGAGAGTATCAGGATACCATATGGAACAGATAGATGCTTGGCGTCGAACTAAAGAACTACCTACCTCCATAATCCTTATTTTTAACATCTATATAGGAGTCTGGCAACACCCAAAGAACCCCAGGCAAACCTAGAAGCAGAAACACAAAAAAGACGATACGACAGTAATAGCATGGAAGTCACTAAAAATGATAAACAAGACAATCCAAAGCTGAGATTTTACCCTTAAATTTCTCAGAAGTTGCTTCATCAACAGTGCACTGAAATCCTGTGTAGGTGGTGGTACTAAAGGCATACATGTTCTTCTTAGCCTCTTCCATGCTGATGCACAAGCACCAAGACGTAATAAATTAGCAGGAATACTCAAGTTGACAAGCATTGGATCAATCATAGAACAGAAGTACAACATTTCATCATGAAATTTTATGTTCCTTCATCATGGAAGTCAAACCAGAAATTTTGCTCATGATAATTGTACCACTGAAGTCTAAATGGGTGAATTCATAACAGGCATACTTGTACTTTCATGTTACAGCCTTTTGCCCCAACCACCACAAAGCAGATAAAAATACCACAAGATCCAAGCCCCATCTCTTTCTCTAAATCTTGGCTCCAACATCATTACCATTACAAGTTATACAGAACATAAACTCCATCGGTTTCAATAACAGTATGTGTTTGCTATCAGATTCACCGATAGAACCGTGATATGAGCAAAAATCATTTTCAAGCGTCAACAATGAGGGCCTAATAGCAACCACATAGCAAACTTCATCTAAGTTTTGTTCTCGCAATAATTAGTCACAGTAATAAATCTTGAAGATAGCTAAGGAAAACTGAGACAACCATTTGTTCTCGAAAAATTAATTCTCACAATCAATATCATAATGCATCGATTTATTGAGCCAAAGACACACCACGCGTCAGAAGGAAGATAAAATTAAGACAAATCCTATTTTTCCTTCAAAGGAAACAATGGAATAGCAACTAGCATCAGAGATTCCAGCTTCGACAACCAACCCAACAACTAGAACCCAAACAGCGCAAGAACATAGCTAGTCGGGTACCCAGGACTCAGAAGTTGTTTATTATTACCCCAAACGCTAAAAGTCAAGAAACCGCCAAGGAAAACAAATGGCAAACGAGATCCCATGTCAAGACCAATTCAGATTGATATCCTGCTCTTAACTCATATTTTTTCCATAAAACAAACAAAAAGTAGGACATCCTAAAAAGGTCAAGGAGAAGAAGATAGTGGAACAAACCTTCCGAGGACAGTGGCGAGAGTATTGAGATAAGTGTCAATCATCTGCTCCCTAGTAGGAGCAGGGTCCTTAGGGAACTCCATCACAATCAACCAGTGGTTGTAGTCACAACCAGGAAGCATAATAGTCTCCCTCTGCTCACCGCTACTGCTCCTCTTCGGCGAGAAATCCCTATCGACGGTCGCCCGAATCAGCGTTCGGGCACGGGTACGGATCACGCTCGAATGCGGAAGATTCCATCCGAATCCATGGCTGGTCACAGTGTTGAAGACTGACGTTTTAGGGTGAGAGCGAAGGGTTAGGGTTTGAGGGGAGAAGGACAGAGGCACCGTCGCCATTGAAGGAGACGACACTTGGGAGAAATGGAGAGCCAATGTGTTCGAGCGTGCTGTGCGACTGATGATAAGGTTCAGAAATGAGACTCCGATATTTTTCCTCTTTTATATCGGCCCTGATTTTTTGGGGTCTGGCTTTCCTCCGCTACCATTATGGTTCCTCGCCTCTCCGCTACCAGAAGCGCACCGTTTAACGGGTAAAATGACAAATGGGATTCAACCAAAAACACCGCAATGCCAGAGTATGAAAATCAATGAAGCAACAACAAATCAGGAAAAAAGTCGGCATCGATTCTGGATAAGCAACAGAGGAAATATTTCTAAATGGAAAAATTTTTTAAAAAAAAGGACCCAGCCACAAATTTTAAGATCCAAGTGTTGGGGCTCAACACTTTATATACTCACTCTACTCCTTATTATAAAAGACTATTAATTAATTTACACAAAATAATAAAAATAGTTAAATACATTAAATTTATCTTAAAATTTAACTTATTTTAATATAAAAATGACAAAAAAGAAGCAAAAAATTTATAAATGTCAAATAAAAAATGTCAGTAAAAATTTGTTGTCATTTGCAAATATGATTTGGGATTTAGTAATTTTCGGTATTTTTTTGTCATTCTCCCTTATCAATATCACTTTTATTAATTATACTAAATTCTAATATCATACCATTAATTTATACTTTCTCACTAACTTTATTAAATATGGATATATATTGGAAAAAAATTTAATACTTACTGAAACTATCATGGTGTCTTAAAAAAAGGGAATAAAATTTTTCTCCAAAAAATGTCTTATAACAAGGACTAGAGGGTGTATGTACTATTTTCATTTCTAAATATACCATTTCTATCAAAATTAAAAATATCAAATATTTTTTACCAAAATTCAAGATTATTTTTTTTTTGTTTTTTTTCCTTAAGAAAGCATTCACTTTTCAGTTTTTCTTAATATATTTCAATGAGTGATTAGTAGATCAAGGAATTTTTTTCCTGAAATTTTTCTTACAAGAAAAATTAAATAAATGTGATGTTAAAATTTTTATTACAGTTTTTCTTAAAAAAAAGGAATAAAAATTTTTTTTACATTCATCCCTCATTAAGTATGGCCCCATTTTGAAAAGATCATTTATTAAAAAATGTTAGGAAATCATTAAATAAATGCGAAAATATCTGTTTGCAAAACGAATTGCTGTGAACCTCTCTCAACAACCAATAGTTTTTTCACATCTCTTGAAATATGTTAAGAAAAACTGAAAAATGAAATAATTTTGAATTTTAGCCTGGAAATATTCATATTTTTAATTTTTAATTTTGATGGAAATGGTATATTTAGAGATGAAAATAGTACATATAAAGTGTTGAGCCCCAATCCGAATAATTATCACTTGGATCTTAAAATTTGTGGCTGGGTCTTTTTTTCCCTAATTTTTTTTCATTTAGAAACATTTCTTTTGTTCCTCATCGAGAATGGATGTCCACATTTTATATGTAAATCCATTTTCCCCCACTTCCCTAATCCTGACCCTTCATGTGATCTGTGGTTGAAAAAATACAAGTGTATGTGATATTTAACATCACGCGCTGTAAAAACCGTCTCCCTTCCCCCACGCCCTCTCTCGACTCTTTAATTCTTCCTTCTTTTTGTTTTTAATCTTCTCTTGTTCACCTTCAGATTCAGAATTCCCCCCCCCCCTAACTTGTTATTCTATAGCAAGGCTCTGTTCGTGAGGTCTTATAAGAACAATATAATTTTTTTGAAATGTGGGAGAACATATAATTTATCACTTTCTGAGAATATTCCATTAATTCACTCTCCTTTTTTCTGAATAAAACGCCAACACCATAAAAAATTATGGCCAATTGTTATTCCTCCCTTCAAATCAAATGTTATTCCAAAAAACCGTAAAAATTGTTATTTAAAAAAAATTGTCATTATTCTAAACTTAAGAAACAAAACAACAATTTTATACTGCCTTCTTTTAACTAAATTTTTTCTGCTATCTTAATTGAATGGCGTGCAATTTTTCAAAAAGTTTTATCACTTTTGTGCAATATTTTTATTATTCTGATTTTGTGCCTAAATAAAATATATAACGTCTTTTTTTTTTTGTATTTTTCTGTCTTCTTTAGCAAGAATTTTTAAAAAAATAAAACTAGAGAGAGAATAAGACAAGAAAAAAGGGGAGGAAAAACCGAAAAAATAGAGACCAGAGAGTGAGGGCGTGGAAAGAAAACGAAAGGGAGAGAGAAAGAGTTTTTATAGTGTGTGATGTGAAGTTAGTAAATGTTGTGTGTGTTTTTGCGTTTTCTTAGCCACAGATTAAATGAAGGGTCAGGGTTAAAGAAGTGGAAAGAAATGGATGAAAAAGAAATGGAGAGGCTCCGCGCCGGTGATTTTACTAGGATGGAGATAAATGGGCCTTATTTTTATGTCTTTTTAAGAGTTGGAATTAGGGCTGAGTATGCAACCCGGAACCCGACGGCCCGCTTGCAACCCTCACAAATTAGGCCTCTCTAAGCCAGTCCAAAAAAGAAAATAAATAGGTGGGCTTAAATGGGCAGGTTTACAACTTAAATGGGTGGGCTACAGGCACAAGCACAGGCTGCCCATACCCGCCCATTTATTTATTTTTTTTTTAAAAAAAGAGGAGAGATCTGCCTTGTTATGGGAGTAGGGCAAACCAAAGCCCAGTCCAAGTCCCACTTCCCATTCGGTCAAGGATTCAGACCTTAGTGCCTCTGCCTCACACCCTGACCCTCTATTCTCTCCGTCTCTCAAGTCTCGCCAGTCACAAGTCACCTCTTGTCTTGGTATCTCTGTCTCCATAGACCATAGTCCACTATTGACTCTCCACAGACTTCGGTCGGTCATCACTCCACTCTCGCAGTCTCGATCTCACTCTCGTCGGCGCCACTGCTCAGTGCGTTGCCCTTCAGTCCTCTACTCTCTCGCCATCTCCCTCCGTCGCTTGCCTCTCGCCTCTCAGTGTCTCGACCTCCACTCTCCGGTCTCTACTCTCACTGTTGCCCAGTGCTCATAAAGTCATAGCTCTCCACTCTTCGGTCTCTCAGAGTCTCAGTCTCTCACGCAGCCACACAGGGTCACCGTTGGTTCTAGCTCGGTCTCTCACTCAAATAAGCTTCAAGTTTTCAATTTGATTTTGAAATTGTCCAATTGAAATGAAAACCCAGTTCCAAATATATAAATATATTTTTTGACACCTAATTAATATATATACATGGCTTTGTTCATTGTTGCTGGCCCTCATATCGGTGGAAATTAGAATCCTATGTGATCAAATAGCAACACATTAATTGACCTTTTAATGATATCATGATCAAATAGCTTTATTGCTTCTGTTGCTCTTGTTGAATGCTGAATTATCTTCGACTTATACTGCTTTTTTTTTTAATATTATGTTTAAGTGAAAATTGGTTTTGTTTGAGGAAAAGTGGGAAAGTATGATTATTTTTGTTTCTGCTACTATTATTTTTGTTAAACTTGATTTGGATTGAGAAGAAAATTGAGGAATGGCACGAAGTCAATAAGAAAATGTCAAACGTAAGACTGTTGTAGAGGAAACTGTGGAAGTTCCAACCAAAGACCCAAGTACTATTGTTCAACATGGTAGAAATACTAATGAGAGACAAGATGCCGAAGTAGCAGCACCACCAGCAAAGAAAAAGATGGCTAACATTTGATATTTGGAATCATTTTATAAGAAAGCCATTGACCCAAACCAAAGGGAAACATAGGGTGAAGTGTAATTATTGTGGCATAGATTATGCAAATCATCCAACCAAAACTGGGACGAAACAGCTATGGCAGTATTTTGAAAATTGTCCTAAGAACCCAAACAAAGTGAGCAAGTCACAAAGTATGTTTACTACTATTTCTTCCCAATCATCTCAATCTAGTCACTTGTTCAATCAAGAACAATGTAGAAAGGCTCTTGCAAGGTTCATTATAAAGAATGAATCGCCTTTTCGAGTTGTGGAAGGGGAGGGTTTAAAAGAACTTCTGCAAGAGTTTGAACCTAGGTTTTAGATGCCATCACGATAGACAATTGGTAGGGATTGTTATCAATTGTATTTGGACGAAGCAAAACATTTGAAAAAATATTTCAAGCAATCTAAATGCCATGTGTCCCTTACCACTGATTGTTGGACCTCAATACAAAACTCCAACTACATATGTGTGACTGTACATTGGATTGATGAGGACTAGACACTGCAAACACTGTTGTTAGTGTAGAGAACTACAGTGGAGCAATAAGAACTACATGATAGTGTTGGAGCTGGGGATGACATTGATATGCTATTTCATGATGATATTGATTCTACATTTCAAAAGTTCATGGGTACTATAGACACTATTGTTAGTGCAGAGAAGATTTTTGAGGTGGATGAATATTTTCAAGTAGATTTAGGTAGTTTTCGTGATCCAAAATTTGATGTCTTGACATGTTGAAAAGTGAATGCTTACAAGTATAGAGTTCTCAGTGTGATAGCACGTTACTTATTAGTTGCACCTATCTCTATAATATCTTCTGAATCAGTTTTTAGTACTAGGGGTCGAGTACTAGATAATTTCAGGAGTTCTTTATTTGCAAAGATGGTTGAGGCACTCGTATGTGCCCAAAATAGACTATCCAATAATACCCCAAAACTCAATGATCTTGAACTTGATAATTTTGCTTAGAGTACAAATATTGTTACTGGTATTTAAAATTTCAATCATATTTTCAATTTATATTATTTTCTCTTCTTATTAAATATTAATGAATTGATGAATTTCTTTTAATTTGTTTTGTAGAGTAAGAGTTAGCAGTTCCAAATGTAGCCACCTCTTCAGGTAACTCTGAAGTAGAAGAAGAAGATCATAACGATGATGATGAGTCATGATTAACCTTGTAGTCTTTAGATTTCCATACCTGTGGTTGTTTTGCTTAAAGCTTGAACGTTCAAAATTTAACATGATGGATTGTGACTGTAATGTATGAACTATGGAGTATGGACTTTGATTAATTATATGCACTATGGAATATGAATTTTGATTAATTATGATTAAATTATTAATAT